TTAGGCTTTAGAAAGATTGTTGGGCTATTAACCAATGCCTAGCTGACATAGCTGTCTCTATACATTCAAATCCTTTTCTCTAACTTTCTTTCAAATGTGTACTTCTCATGCCATCGATTTCATTCAACTGAATTTTTTTTAAATAACTATATTTACAAGTATATTATATACCTATGTTTAAATTCATATTAAATATTATCTTCTTATTTGATGATATTCTTCGGTACATTTCTTTTCTTATTTACTTCAGTAATAGTAATTGAAATTGAATATTTAAATAATAATACTTATTGATTTATATTTGTTTCTTTTTGAAATTTGCCGAAGAATTAAAAATAGAGAATGAATGTTTATAAAATCACAATTACAAAAAGTACAAAAATTTTTATTTACACTAATTGTTTTTATAAATTGCCAAAGTTTCAGTTAATTAAAAAAACTTTTGAAGTTTATAATTTTTCAACAATTACCTTTATTTTAAAGCATTTTTTGTTCTGTAAAATTTTAATAAATTACCAAATTTTATTTCAACAAGAATTCTTGTTTACTTTATATTTTTGTTAAAATTTATATGCCATTTCGAATTTATATTTCATCCGTTGTTGGTAATCCTTCTTCTCAATAATTAATTATATTATTTTAATTAACAAGTGAACAGCTTTTTTTTTTCATTTGAAACTTTAAGCTTAAACACTTTTTGGAAAATTGATAAGTGATATATTTTGCATTGATATCAAAAACATCATTAGTGATACATTTTTATTCGACAGCCAAATATAAAATGTGTTTCGTTTTAATTTGCATATTATCAATTGGCTGCGATATTTATTGATTATGTGGGCATTTCAAAGTATGAATCGTTGTTGCTGCTATTAACACATTGGAATCAAACAATGAGGAATTTAAAAATTCAATTTTCATATACCATTTAGGAACCATTTCAATTCAGCCTTTATCAATCAATCACATTCCATTTCATTTCGTTCTCTTTATCATTCTTTCAATTATTATCTTTTTAGAATATAAAATGAAACTTTTTCAAACTTTACACTGTTGAAAGCTTATTCATTTATTTAATTTTTTTTTAACCAAAAATTCATTGTTCTAAGAATATTAATTAAAAAGAATTAATGTCAATTAAACAATTTCAATTCATTTTCCAATAATTATGAAGTCAATAGTAATAATATTTTTTATTATTTATTGTTTGAATCTTTTCCGAGCAAACTATTTTAATAGTTTTATTCATTCTAACTTATTTATACTCATATTTAAATAATTTTTTCAACATTCCTTTTAAATATAATTTGTTTGAGGAGAAATTTGACCTTTTGCTTTTGCTGAACTTTGTAATTTTCAATCAATATCGATCATAAATTATTCTCTTTAGGATATTTTGATGGTTTGAAGAAAAATATTTCCATTCTGTCGGGCCTTTCATTGAAGCCAAATGTCAATTTTCCTTCTATTCTATAAGATTTTGTTTTAAAAGAGCACAATACCTTTCGAAAAAGTTGTCTTTTTCATCAGGAAAAACTCGATCTTTTCTATTTTCTTAAATTCCTCTATAAACAGACACATTTTTTAATTCAAATTTATTTTGAAAATATATTCATTAATATCTATTAATTAATATACGTTCATTAGCCTATTAAATGTTATCAATAATTTGAGGGAAGTAAAAATTTTCAATTTAACATAGCAAATTTTAATTAATTCGTTGGCAATTAATATATTCAAAATAAAAGAAATGAAATGCAAAAATTCCATCGTTTGTGGGAAAAAATTCAATGAATTATCGAATAAATCTGACAAATGATGAATAATTCACATTAAATTTATACAAAAATAAATGACTCAATCGATTATGCATAATCGATTACTTTATTAATTATGGGAAATTAGTTAATGAAATTAACTCTATTATTTAATATTTATTGCAAGAATATTCATTACCCTTTTTTATATTCACAAAAACTCTTCCAAAAAAAATGTGATAAAAATTCAGTGATAAGAATGTGATAAGTAGAAAAATTCAAATAACAATACAATCCATGAATGAATTTATTGTTGAAAGAATTATGTCAAAGAAATACTATTCGATCACAATTATTGTTCTAGCATTTTTTTCTACCAAAAAATATTTTAAGTATTTTTGTTTCAGATAAATAATATATTAGTAAACAGGATTGAAATTAATCGATCGATTAGGTTTAAACATCTGTTCAGCTTATCATTTGTGTTTATTATTTCACCTTATCTTCTCTTATCTTTATCAACTTCAACGTTTTATCCATTCACTGTTATAAACCAAACCATTCGCTTTTTTTAACATTTTAAAAGTCAATTTAAATTTTAATTTTTAAGCAATAAAGAAGAAAGAAATGTTATGTGTATAATTAAGAAAGTTAGCCAAATTTATTTAATTACTTTAAATTCAATTTCTTTTGTTATTACTTTTAAATTCAAACATTTAACTTAAAATTTTTTAATTATACATTCATTATTTTACTATCAAATTTTATTTTCCAAAGCTACAATTTCAATTTAATTGCAAAACAAAACTCCGAAATAACTATTCCTTGCGATATTAATTATTGCCTATTCCATTTTCTGTTCACATTCTTTATCGATTTCAATTTCAATACAAAAATTATGTGTGTGTATGTGTGTGTGCATGTGTGTGTATGTGTTTGTATGTGTGTGTATGTGTGTGTATGTGTGTATGTGTGTGTGTGTGTATACATTGTATTAGATAAGATATGTAACATAGAAAATTTTCAATTCCATCTCGGTTTCCCTATTATTTTAAAATGTTTTGCAATTAAAACGTTAAAAGATTTTAACAAAATTCATTTACATTGTAGAAAGATTATTATCAGAAAACCTTTGGAAGTGTCTTTTCATAACTTATCAATCAATTTACAGCCTAAAGTTATCTCTTTTCCTTCAATCAAACTACATTTATGCTAACTAATTCGATCTTTTCTTTTATCTTTTCCTATCTGTCATCTCTTCATTTCAAGTCTTAATTCACACTCTTCATATTTTGCTAATTCTATTCTCTTAATTAACTTAGCTATTTAATTCATAACTTTAAGATCAGTATTTTCTCTCAATCTTTTTCAAAAATTATTTCATCTGACAATCTTTTCTCTTTTTATTTTAACTAATCTTTTTCTCTACTTTTTGAATTAACTTGTGAGTCACTTTTTAACTTTTAACTTTTTTTAACTTTTTCAAATGAATGACAGATAAAAGAAGCATTTGAAGGAGAAGAATTAACAATTACCACCAGCTGATCGCAATAATTAATGCATTAACTCACCGAAATTCTTTTCATTTTCAAAATTTTTCTGCTAACATTCATGAGATTATCGATAATAATTATCAAAGATAATTATCTTTGATAATAATTATCGATTTGAGGAGCCAATGAAATGAAGAAGAGACATTTTTTAGTATTAGCAAAAGAACATTTTATTTGTTGGTGACAGAGAATATTAAATTATTGGACATTTTAAGGGCTAATTTTAGCATTCGTAATATTTCCATTCTGACATTTTCTATTTTGATGATATTGAAGAACTTAAATTTAATGATGGCTTTGTGAATTAGCAATCTTTGTAATATTTGTGTGAAAAGCATAGAGAAAACAATTAGACGATAGAGAAAAAGTAAGAAAAAAGATAATAAAATATGAAGAAAAAATAAGAAATCAAATAAAATATTACCATATATATATTAAGCAATTATTCGACTTTTCAAGTAGTTATTCTATTTATGTTTCAGCACTTCAATGTCAAACTTAAAAAAATTTACAACATTTATTTACTACTCATTTGTTTGTTTAATTATTGATAATATAATAATATGCTTATTAGGCTAATACAATGGTATTATTTATTCAACATTAATAATACGATCAGTGAAATCTTAAATTTTACTTTTGATTTAAGATTGAATAAGGAATAACTATAATTGTTTGTATTATCAATATTTACATTTCTTTTCATATTTTCTTTTAATATAAATATAACTACCCATTTTTATTCCATCTTTTACACATTAATGTTAGATAGTAATAAGTATAGTTAAAATTGAGAAAAGATTAAATTGAATTAAAGAGATTGTATGAAATTTTCAATATCATTGAGATTGAAAAAAGAAGAATAATTGGTTTTCTTTTTTTCACTTCTCATTTATTATTAATAAATTATGCGTATTTCCATCACTGATATGAAGGATCGACCATATTAATACTGCAAATATAAATAATTGAAATAATACACAAAATAACAAATTGCAATATCGCATCCATACATTATATATATATTTCATATTTTCATTAGAGACAAATAATGGTTTCGAATGATTGGAAAAATGTAAAAATAGCTGAAATTGCTTAAACAATTTATCGATTGAAGATATATATTTTAAATTAGAAAAAATTGAAACCTATAGTTATTAAATAAATTAAATGAAATATATATGAAGGAAGTGATATTTATATATTATGCGTTGCTGTCTTATTATTGATAATAAATTAAAAAAGAATATTAAAGATAAAAATGAAATTCTATTTGTACAAATAATTTGAATTTGATACTTAAAAGTCGATATATTAGAATAATTTAGTACAACTTTCTGGTTTTTTATAATACTTTTTAAAATTGTTTTAGTTATTAATTAATTGATTTATAATTAATTTTTTTTTAATTATACATTTGTTGTGTTTTCAATTGGATTTTTTAGTTTACTTTTGAATTTTACTGTAATATAAAAATGTTTAAATAACTGATTATGCTCAGCAAACTATATGATCTAATTCGATCAATTACAAACGTATCACTAATCATATATGTAGAATTCTTCCAATTTTCAGATTTCGAATGAATATAAAATGCTAATCGTATCGAAGCATTTGTTTTCAAACCATAAAAATTAGCATAATTAAAAACACTCTTCAACTTTTACAACACTTATTAATTTCGAGAAAGATGTTGCTCGATTGCTTGAAGTCAAATTTACCACCTCGAAATCATACAACTCCTCAGTATTACACTTGTTTTGGGCGAATGCATGTTCAGGTATGCATTACTCCAATTATAATAAATCCAGTCAGTCTCATTTAAATTCATTTCTGTTCAACATACCTATCTTAAATTTATTTTAAGAAATAATTATTTATTACAGACTGCTTTACAACTCATTATAATTGTAACATTTGCATGGGATATATTTCGATGGATCGATTTCATTGTCAATCAAGGAATTACCTTCGGTAATTTATTCATTTATTTGTTTTATTCTTTTTGAAATGATCATTATCGTTATTGACTAAATGAAAATCTCTCTGATCATTCTTTAGCACTACTTAAAAAGCTAAAAAATGTTATAGTAATTTTTGCTATCAGTTTTCATCAAAAACTATTGCATCTGCCCAAATTTTAAAGTATGTTACGAAATTGCCTTAATTACTATTTCACTACCAATTTGCAAAATATAGTTATTGCTTCGCAGAAATTTTTTGATATTGTTGTTTTTATATCTGTCGGTACAATTATCCTTCCATTTATTTGTTACTGATATTCAATTTGATATCTGATATTGATATTCAATTTTGGATGATATTTGTAAACCACTCGAACTTTAATTACTGTTACAGGATGGATAGAAATTTTTGCGGAAATTTGCAATGCCTTATTCGGGATTTCATTGACCATCGCTTATTGTTTCAAATCAGCGTCTTTCTTATTACCATATCTTTTCTTTCAGGTTTTATATCTCTTTTAAATTAACTTTAATTTCCCAACCATATTTCTTCAAATCTTACAAGAAAAAGGAATTTTTTCAACAATGTAGTAGTAATAAGTTTCATCTATACCCCTTCCTATACCATTTACAATTGATAATCTCGTTTTTACCATTTGTTGCATGCTTGCCCTTTAAAAAAAACTTTAAAATTTCATTAAAATTATAAACTGCGAAGTACGCCGAAATTTAGATGAATACCTTTCATTTTCAGCTATTTACTCTGGTAGCTTCGATGATTTTATTCTGCGTAAGCTTTTTGACTATAATATGGCCCAAAAATTCTTGGGCGCCCAGCTTTCATACTTATCCACCGACAAAAGCATCCAGTAAGATTCACACTTACAGATATCTATATGTATATTCAGTTTCTTCGATAAGATGCGAATAGTATCTTTAGAACAATCTTTATTCAGGTTAACCTAGAAACCTTTAACTACATTATTGATGTTTCTAAAAACATCGCCAGATATATGATTTCTTAAAAATAAAAAAGAAAAAAATTAAGATTTTGCAGATTCCTCCTTTCATTCACAGTAACTATGATAGGCTTGAATAGCTTTTCCAAGCTCATTATTTGCTTAATATGTGAAGCAACTATTTAATCAAAAGCAAGTGCGTAATCAGTTCAGAGATAAAGTTGGAGATAACAATTTGAAGATTGCAGGTAGTCAGAGAAGAATGATAAGTTCCAAGAGAAAACTGAACAAAACTTGCAGAATAATGAGACTATAAGGACTGATAAATTTCTTTCATTCAATAAAGGAAAAATAAATTCTATATGGAAAGAAATATTAGAATTGGTGCTATGTTTAAGTAAAATACTCAATGCTTTTCATGGGTGATGAAAAAGACCAGACATCGAGAAACTGCTATGAATATTTGTAGCTGTTACCAGGAAAATATTTTAAAAATCAAAAAACTTCAGATCTTTCCTTCTTTTTAATTTTTTTCCTCTTGTCAGCAATCTTTTGTTTTACATCGTTTCAGCTATTCGACTAAATGCTATAATTTATGCCATATCTCCACTTACTTTTGCATTGATGTTAATGTGGGTGATTCGCGTATTGTTCGCTTGCTATGTATATTTTAGCGATCGGAAAAAAGCTGAATCAAGCTTCCCCATAGTTTCTATCCAGGCAAGTTACAGCTGAAGAAAATAATACGTTTCTTTATAATTTAAGCTCAGTTCATTGACAGCAATAGATTTGCAAGTGCTTTAGAATGTAGCAAGTTCTTGCAGGAAAAAAATTCGACTTCATTTATAATCTCAAGTAAGAAGGAATTACCTATAAAGTCATCGAATTGATTTCTATAGTTTATGCCAAAAATACAAGACTATGAGTTGCAATTCTTATCTGCACATTTAGTACACGAGATAGTAGCCTGAAATAAAATATGCGTAGGGTAGAAGCAAAGGAAATGCCTATAAGCCTTTTTTTCAAGTTAAAAAAATCTGCATGTAAGTGCTTTTAAAGTTAATATTAGTTCATTTGCAGAACAATGGCCCCGCCACAGGTGTTACTATAACTTCACCAACTGGTCCAAACAGCGCACCAACAGTAGCTGTAACATGTATTTCGACCAACTTGACATCGTCAACCACATTCTCGAATCCTAACTTCACTCTGCAGGATGAAAACGGGGAGGAACAACAATGACCATGGGAAATATTAATGGCATATTGGAGATTGAAATGTAGCGCTTCGTGGAAGTAAACTAAGCATTAATCAAAAATTAAAAAAAAGTTTGACATTTTCAGGACATTGACAATTAATTACCGATATAAAAGAAAAACTGCTCTCAAAATATCAGGAAAAAAGCAATAGTCCCTGTATAAAGTTATGAAAACAAGTAAAGGAACAAGTAACATACTACTAGTAAAACCGATGAAAAGAGAAATATTCATTACAAAACACAAACTGAAACTTCTCTTCGCATAATGTTCATTAGTTATAGCTGTATTATTGCGATGGATGAATACCAGTGTTTGAAGATGGATACTCTACATTTTAATGTCAAGTTAAACCTTCTCCCATACCTGTTTGACAATACTCAGGATTCCACATCATACCATACGCACCCTCCTTTAGCATCCAAATTGATTACTTGTTCAATTTAATCCTGTTGCCGTTATCATTTTCTTGTATTACAGACAGTAATAGTTTAGGCCTCATTTAATGCATTTAACCATAAATTTTTTGAGTTTCTAGAAAATGAAGCTATATTTTTTCAACAACGTTATTTATTCCTAATGCTGGGATTAACCAGCAAATTAATGAGCATGCATATGTTGTTATGAAACTATTCATTTCCTTATATAATACTAGTAAAATATTTCTTGATACCTTATACTGGATTCAGCTTATCTCCATGTCACTCAGCTTGTTTTAGAATTTTCGCCCCCTTGTTTTAGAATTTTTTGTTTGAGTATTTTACTTTTGTTTATGAAATTTCCCGACTATAAAAATTTTAGTCCATTAAAGGTTTCAGCTATCATTTAATCATTCCATATCTCAGTTGTGAACGAATTCTAAACAGCATTCATTTATTTATTGCAACTTGGGAGAATTCGCTACTGAAAGTATGCCATTCATAACAAACATAAATAAGAGAAAGAAAGGAATAAAACCCAGTACATGACGACTGTAAATGCTTCCATATTAAGCTTCAATATTGAGTAATTCTGCTCATGTCCTTATTTGCATCACATTTTGTTTAAACACCAACTTGCCGTAACTGCAACTTTAGTCAACATTATCGAAATTACGGAAGTTTTTACATTTAAAAAATTTTGGTAAGTTCAACACTGTAAACGTATGTTGAAATTGAAATTTTGGATGAGAGGATAGGGAAGTTACTGAAAATGATATTAGAGTATGGAAAACCAGGGCCAGGTGTCTATTAGTGCCTGTTAGTTGTATAAAGAAATAGAACATATTATTAGCTAATGGCTGTCTCTGAGTGTATAATGTACAAACATATGCATCACTTTTTTTGCTTCTAAAAATTTGCCTTTAAGATTAGGATCTTAAACCATAAGCATGTACATTCCAATATATATAGAACCCCTGATTAATGAACAAATTAATCTTACAGATAATTGAAAAGATAATATTGCGGTCGATAAATAAGCAATAGGGATTACATACAATATACCACTGTTTATGAATGAGAACTTCTGAAAACGACTCAAAACTTAAAATCCAAGTTTCCGAATGAAATATTTGAACAAAGCGACTCCATCTCTTCGATCCTATTCAGTGATAGCGCTAATTCTCCCTATTCATTTCCGTCTTTTTTTGAAAAAAAGTAATCCTAAACAAACAAGTTCACCTTTTTGAGGCAGCAAGTGCGGCAATCGCTAAACCACCAATTACTGCAATTCCTCCACCCAATATTGCCATACCAATGATTCCATCTAAATGAATCTTAGATTAAAACTAGAGACAAATAAAAATGAAATTTTATAAAATTATCAAATAGGTTCAAGTTTCGAAAAACTGATATTTACCTTTTCTCATTCTATATTTAATCACGTCCTTTAGATCTAACGCTTGACGATTATTCGACTCTGCACTGAGTAAAATATCAACATATGCAAGAGCTCGATCGTATTCCTGAAATTTTAGATTTTTAATAAAATTACCTCGATCGTATTCCTGAAATTTTAGATCTTTAATAAAATTGAAAAAGTTAGCAGAAAACTTTACCTTCAAGCGAGTATGTGCTATGGCAAGATAATATACATAATCACGCTTTGATATATCCTCAACTTCTTGCCGCAATAAATCTAAAACATAAAAATTTATACTTTTGGCACCCGAAAAAAAAATCGCCGTAACCGGCTCAGCCTTTGTGATAACACAGTTAATCGGAATACATTATGCTACATTAATATAGCATCACAACAGTAATTTTGCTGTCAAGATACAACGCATACTAAGCATATCTATAATTTTAACTGCTTTTTTTATGCGACTTCATGATTAATTTGCCTAACTTATTACTGAAGAATGCTTTACTCGAACATAGTTGCCTTACAAATACAGCAGCATATCTTCATTAAAATGTATATTAAATTGTTTACCGTTAATATATCGCAACCAATGTTCAGATTAGTTAATTTTTTCAAGAAAAAGAATAAAAGAAAAATGATGACGACGGAAACACCAATAATCTAATAACCTTCCAATAATTTGATTCCCTTACATACATCACGGTTGCTTGATTTGATCAGGCCATGAGCATAAGAATATACTGCGACCGCACTTGGACTACCACGTGCTACTTGTTCATTGTAGGTCCTTTCCAAGTTCTGAAGTAAAAACATCCTGCACTTAAAGAACATCCCTATCTTTTGTTAATATTTGCTTTGGCAACTAGGAATAAAACAATCAGTCATCATTAAAATACAATAAAGTATTAATCACAACCATTATTACCACTCTTAATTATGTTATGGGAACAGAATTAAATTAGTTAATTAAAATGATGAAAATCACAAAGAGCCAAGACAGTGGAATCACAATTGTAAAGTTATACTCATTGCTAGCAGAAATGATACTTAACGAAAGTAATATAATGTAAAAACACAGTCATTATTACTAGAAGAAAAAATAATGAATCTTTTTGCAAACATATGTTCATCCCAAGAAGGAATTGTACTTGAATTCAGAATTTCATGATACAATAAGAACAAATAAGATAATCAACATACTGCCAAAACGTCCGGATCGATTCGTTCATCAACAATTACACCAGAATCCATCCCTAAAAATATTTAGTGATTTGCTCCGAACTAATCAACTCCGAAAAGTGACAAAACTCAAAATACCACTGCCACATCCGGACATGTTATGCCTTATAAATCCCATTTCAATGTCATGCTATTCACGGCTCCAACCAGCCGGTCGCCATGCAATGATCGTGTCTCGCTTTTACTTACGAGGACGCGTAACTTACTATGTAATTGTTGTGAGATTTTGTTGGCCGCACTTTACATACTCAGGTTTTTATATATATGATAGAAATAAGTTTTGCTGATCAAATATATAGCAAAAGCATTAAAAATGAAAGTTACCTCAATGTACGATTATCAACTTTCCACAACACATCACATTTTGGTACTTATTCTATTTCTTAATGAATTATGAAATAAAAAGAATTCCATATAGTTTATAAAATTTAGTCTATTGCCTTTTCTTCAAACTGTTCCATTTAAAATCTTCGATATGCTATTATTCGAACATCAATTTCAGTAAAATCATATTCTAAAGACTTCTTTAGAAAGGAATCTGTTAAAGGAATCTGTCGAATTTTTCAAAATCTCAGAAACCTTGGTGTACTATACCGAATACTGAAATTGATTCGTGACTTAAAACTAGGCAAATCTTAAAACAAAACTAAGCAAATAAGCAGATCTGAAACATGAAATGTCACTATTAAATGATAAAAAATATTAGAAAGATTCGTTAAAAAGTGTTGTACGTGGAAATTAAAAAGACTGATGATAGTATTACAATGAAACTCATAAAATTTTCAATTTATAACATTGCAAAATTTCAATTTTAAAAAGTCGCCTTATCAGCTCAATTGTAAATCAACTGATCTTTTAAGTTTTTTATCCTTTTATCTATCTATAAGATTGTCCATTATGAAAGATTTGGTAAAGGAAATTAATTTCAAATAGTTTAAAGAGGCTGTAGCACAGTCGCATAGCACTTCACTGTAAATTGGATTTAAATATTGGCACTTATAAAGTAGTGAAAAAATATTAAATTTGATAAGTCAAACATAGATCTTATTTGATGAAGGGGACGCATAGGTTAGTGATACAATAATAATTTACTGTACGTGGAAATGTCATTGAATCAAATCCTTATGTTTTCTTTGATATCGGTAAAGTTCGGTAAAGTATTACCTTATAAGAAATCTAATTAATGACTTATACCAAATTAACTTATACCAATGACTTATACCAGATTCAACGGTGCATTCCGGATATTACTTTCATATTTGGATTCCGAGTGATTGATGGCTTTAAAATGATGTTTGTAATCTGAAGCTTATTACGGGATCCTCTTCAACTCAAATGTATGACGTTTTACTAATTTAATCTGATCGATATGTAGAATTTATTAGACAACGAATTTCACGTGAAAAATACTGCCATCATATGAGTCAAAATTTTTATTTATCAGGCTGATTTCAATAGCATATTTGATTAGCAATTTGAATATGGATGCGTGGAATTAATTTTTAAAAAAATGACACTTAAATGATACCAAATTGAAAGTGTTACGCTTTGATATGACATTAAATTCATGATCGTTTGCTTTATAATTATTGGAAGCGGTATTTTAAAATGGAAATAGTACTGTGTAAGAGTCTATCGCTGCCAAATTATGTCCTTAAGTCCTTGGATCTAAAATTATTGCTTTGAATTTCAAAAAAATTTTTGCTTATTTCTAAAATAAAATTAAATTAAATTTCAACAGTTACTTAATTGCTGGAGAGAAGAAAACTTATGATAATAAAAACTTCCGGAAAGTGGCAATCGATATGTTGATTTTTTTCGACATTGGTATTGGTAAATCGCATACCATTGGCAGATCGTCAATCATATTCAATCTGTAGGATAATGAAAAATACATGTTATTAAACGAATGCCATAATTCATTTACAAGAAATTTTATTAAGAACATGCAGAATATGATAACTCTAAAGAGATTCATATTTGACTTGTAAAGTTTTCTCATTCTGATATTGATTTATTCCAATGGGAAATTAATTGCGAGTAATAACACTGACAGTGAAATATTCGATAAAGCCACGATATCCGGAATTGTAAACATATCCCATCGGTAGGCGACATAACACTGAGGTGAATGGGCGTGGAAGACTGGCAACTGGCAACGGAGATTGTTATCTGCAATCGTTCTTCTTGAAAACTGTGCTTTTGGAGGTATGGGGAATCGAACCCCAGGCCTCTCCGATGCGAACGGAGCGCTCTACCCCTGAGCTATGCCCCCTTTCATTCACTATATCATACAGATTAATTTGGATTTTGTTTGTTTGTTAATTATTCAAAAACAAATTTGAGAGATATTTTTTTATTTTGTAAATTATCAAAAAGTAAGTGTGACAGATATGCTTTAGAGGTGAAAGGTTAAGCAAAAAGAATTATTTTCTTTGCAAAATAGCGACAATTCAAAATGAAAACTTTTTTTGTTTAAATTAATAATTAATTATGCATAGAAAGCAAATTAACAAAGGAAAAGTGCGCAAACAAAAAAATTAAAAGTGATAAAGTTGTTTTAACAAATAATTTTTTTAATTTACGGTTTGCGATAAGTTTTCACGCAGTTTGCCTTGAGTGCATGCATTGAGCATGTCAATCGGCAATAATTGCTTGAAGATTTTTTCCCATAGAGATTAAATAGGAAACTTCCACATAATATGGTACGAAAAGTTATAATATAAAGTTGAAACAATGATCAAAACCAAACTTTGGTTATCAGCATTGACGTATCGGTTATAAGTCGGAAGAAATCATTTTTGGTAAGATCGAGCATATTAACTTTAACTTAACTTTAACAAATTAATTTTAAGCATATTGAAGATGATAACCAACTATTGCATTATAATCCTAAAGTTTCAAACGACCTCAGGTTGATATTGGGACATAAATATCACCTGCAATATGCTTAAAAAAATAATATAATTGGTAGATATACGAAAAGATTATTATAATAAGAAATTCATTCTCAGAAGTAAAAAGTGAATTAAATCCTTTGTTAGTTATGAATAAATCCTTAACTGAAAGGGTCAAGCAGGCCAGCACAAATATCAAAATGAAACTGACTAGAAAATGACAGAATTGGTCAGTCTTGCAGCTTGGTTCATGTGTTTCTAAAAGTTATTTACTTTTTTATAAATTGTAACGAACTAAGATCGAAGACATTTTCTTCTAACAATGCTAATGATATTGTCGGATAGCTAGGAAATTGTGGCTATTACTAATTGAAATATAAGTATTAGACCAATTAAGCTTAAAATAATTAATGAAAGAGTTTTATGCAAAAATATTTCCGAATTTATATTTTCTTGGTAAAAGGAATAGACCAGGAAACAGTTCATCTTTTCTACGCTCGCGCATTTCATGTTCTAAACATTTGTACTAAGAAGTGGGATAGTGAAGGAATAGGTGATAATCGTTCCTTATCCTTCACTATGGTCATAGCAATATCAGAGGAATATTAAAATGATCGTTAGTATATCTGAATGCTTTCATTTTCAGAAATAAAATCTGAAAGATAAAACTTTCAAGGAAGAATTTGCAATTGTTGAGAAAAGGCTAAGTTAAAAAAGTACAAATTATTGGTATCAAATTATTTCGATTTTATCGTGTTCTTGGCTATTTCATTCTTTAATTAACATTTTGTTAATTAATTTAAAGACGAAACATTTTTATTGAAAAAATTTTATTCCTGAATGAAAATTTGTTAATTATAATTGTTATCATTAAAATTCGGAGGCTTTTAAAAAACTGTAGAAAAAAAATTTTGCAGGAAAGGATATACTTTTTCGTCGAAAAGTTAAAGGAATACTGTTTTGTATGAAATTTGAGGAAATGATCATTTTGTGCTATTTAGCCGATAGCGGTAAGGAATTTGATAAGTGAAATGCTCTGACTTACAAAATTGTTTGTAGTTGTTATTTGATCAACGATTATTGTTGCTGCAATGCAAACTTAATTTGGCGATGATATTATTAAAAGTATATTGAACAACTTTTCCATCACACAGTAAAAAATACATGCATTAAAGTACTGGTCAAAATTTTTGCTTCAAAATCTCGGGACCATAAAGAATTATGCGCCAATATGATTTGATTTGACTTATATATTAAAAGTGATATCGATTTTAGGCTACGAACCTAAAATAGCTCATGAAGATGTCGTTTATTCAGCATTTGAATAAAAAAGCTTTAATACTGGCAAAAAATGGAATTTTATTTTAATCGTTGCAAATTTATAAGCGCTTTGCATTTCCTACAAGCACGCTATATATTTATGCAACTCTAATTATTGCTGTTGCACCACAAAATTTAAGAAATTGTTGGAGACAAAACTTTTACAAGTTTTTGAATATGTAAGTAATAATTGCGTTTATTCAATAGTAATAATGATTAAGTTATTCTTATGTATTCGAGAAAAGGTTTTGATCTATGGGAGGAATATTTTGAAACAAAATTATTCGTCATTGATAATGCTAAACATTATGATGGGTTCTTCTTAAGTTATCATGTTTTAATAATTTGTTTATTTTCATACAAAGATTAGAATTTTCGAATAATGATTGGTTAGGATGTATGTAGTTTTTGGCTGTAAACTTTAATTAATTTCTTTAAATCCATTAGAAATTAATTAATGACAGGTTTAACATGCACCGTATAATTGTTTAGGCATCGGAAAAAAACTAATGCTAAAATAATTAGGAGATCAGTGTTATTTGAATGTGAAAATATTAAATTCTTTGAAGTGTTAAATGAATCAATTTATTTTTTATCAAATTTAAAAACTTTTTCTTAACACTTTTATTCTTTTGTATTATTCATCACATCAAATAATTAACTGCGAGACTTTTAATGATAAGATATGAAATCATTATATTTTTATACAACTTTGCCAAATCTCTTGCACGAAATTTATGTTCAGAATTCATAATATGAAATTATTTATCGATATGTATTTAAAATAAGTTGTAATCTTTGTGAATAATGGAAGATAAATATAACAAAAATTATTCTTAAGATATTGCGTTTTTTCGGCAAGAATAATGATTCGCCTTAATCATCACAAGATGTATCGATTTCGAATTGCTTATATGACGATGGTACTTTTGGTTATCATCATTACTAATTATGCCTTGTTTAGTCCAAGTTTGTTAGTTCATCGTTTAAAATTTAACTTTATTATAGAAATTAATAAGCACCATATTTTCGTTTTCTTTCAATGCTCAGAAGGATGGTCTTTTCGAGAGATGTTTGCTTTGTTTCGCTTAATGAGTTCATAAAATTTATTAAATTTGGCTCATACTCATCTTTAAGTTGACTGACATAAAACGATTGCATTGAATTGCAAAGATATCATACACTCTTATGGGAATTATATGATATCAGAGTATGATACCTTTTAAATTATATGTATCAGCATTCATTAAACCATAAAATTTCTACGAAATTTTGTTCGCAAATAAATAAATCAATCGGAGGAAATGTTATTTGCATAAAAATTTGATAAATTTTGCTTAAATTATAAAATTAATATTTATTATTAATTAGATTTTGTTCATAATTAAAAAATTTCTATTTAGAAACCGAAAGTTTTTGTTGGAAAATCATTGAAAACTACAAAACCAAATAGCAATAACAATTAGAAATCTGAAAAATTGCTTCCTTTTTAGATTGGCGAAATCTTGCATTATCTGATAGTTATGATTCGTTAGACTTCAATGGAAACACAACGATGAGCAATGATACGATACTTATTACGCGGATTTCAAATGAATCGAAATTATTCATACCCCGACAAATGGGTATCTTAAGAAATCGTTGTTCATACGATGATGTGAATGATCAGTTTATGGATTATATGGCATTGTTTGATGAAAATGATATGATTTCCGGCAATATTTATAACACATTTGAGCAACGGAATAATTCAGATCATTTCTGTTTTTTGTGGTCTTCAGTAAGTACCATTCTGCATTTTTCTTTTGTTCTTGTTTAACATCAAAGGTTTCTGCTCAATTTCAGTATTTAAATTAAAAAAATACTTTTCAGTTTATTTAACTTTAATCAATGAAAATTTCATTTAAGAAAAATCGGTTGTTTTTTTCTTTAGGAGAAACCAATATCGGATACTATTGTTATGGTCTTACTTATCGCTACAAGCCTCCTTGACTTTGTAGCTTTAATAATGCCGTTGATTGACTACGATGTTCAACAAATGTGCAAAATGTCATCTGTCACCATTTTATTCCAATTTAATCTTATTCCAACAATTTCTTTGACCACTGCTGTTATTTTATATGCTTATTCCAATAAACAAGCTGTCGGTTAGTGCATCACTCGAAAAGTTTTTCTTCAAAAAGAAATTTTGTTTCGAATTTAATTCTATTGAAAATATCTGAACTGAAATTAAAAAATTAATTTGAATCTGCCATTTTTTTACACTTAAAATTAGAAAGAAAACCTTAGTTTGAAAATCATTTTTAGTTTTATTCTTGTCAAACGCATTCGAATGACATATTGACTGCAAAAATATATGTGTACTGTTTATTTATAAAATATTTAACGGTTGCATAACGGTTGCATCTTAGGTTTTATTTCTCTAAATATTTGCATTAATTGATATCAGATTTGCAGATATTGCAAATCTTATTGTAAAGCAATTAACAAGCGATACAATGTTAATCAGAAGTGCAGGAAATGTAAATGTGAGTGTTGGAGATGGCTTTTACATCGGTTGTGTAGCTCTATTGATCCATTGGATTCTTTATTTCGGTACTGCCATCTGCTGGCAGTGGTCGCGAATTTCTCATCTAACTGCAAGCTTCTAATTGTCATAATTCTTTTTTTCCGATATTCCTTTGCTTTTGCCAGCTACTTTTATACATAGAAAATAAAATAGGCGATATACTTGTAGTAGAAGTGATACCATAATCTATCGTAATCGCTATCACTGCAATTTATCATTTCAAATTGTATCGGGAAATTATTCTTTTCATTCATTTGTTTTGTCAGTTTTTTGATACATGTCTACTTATTTTTTTAATCATTTTGATCAAAGAATAAATAAACAATTCTGTGCAATTTTTGTCACTAAGCATGGACGATTAGCTGAAAGTTGAACAGCTTTTACTACTTCTATTACTACTACTACTAATAATAAGCTGAAATATATCAGTTAATAAATCATTTCCATTTTATTATTCCATGCAAAATAAGTCAATTCGATATTTTGCAACGAGAAGGAAAGTTTATGAAAGATAAGCAAAATTTAATTGAAAGATCAGGAAATATGATAAAAATTAATGTTAACATTAAGGGAAAAATTATGTAAGCAAATATTAGCAAAAGAATCTTTTTTAGTTTATGTAAAAATTGTTTGGTTTTTTTGATCAAAAAATTTGCATAAAAATATTTTTTTAATTAAAAAAAAAGAAATTCTTACTGTAACTTTCCTTCAACTTTTTGTATTTACTTCGATCGGCTGGTTTTATCAGTTCACATCTCATAGATCGACGAGTTCAAGTTATCTTTAATATAACAACACATATCAAATTTAAATTTAAAAGCATAAAATAGTTTTGTCTTTATCAAAAGGATAAAAGATACAATTATAAGAATGTAATCAAACTGAAGAATTGCATAATTTAATCAGAAATACTTAACTTACTTTTATTAATTTCGTATTTTGAGGTATGTATTATCAAGCAAACGTCTTATTAATTAAAAATTTAAACAAATAGTAAATAACCGTAATTTTTGTGTTTAGCTTATTTTTGTGTTTAGAAATTAATTTTTTGAAATTTATAGCATTTATCATTTTATATGAATAAATTCTAATTTTTCGAATTATTTTAGCATATTCGCTAAAAGTTTTTTCCATTATCAAATTTTTCGAAGAAAAAGGCAAATATTTCAAAATTAAAAACAATCAAACAAAAATCTCAGCGTTTATTAAAAATGACAGCAAATAAGTTAGTTAATTTTATCGTCAACTTTATTAATAATTTACATTATTAATTAAGCTAATTTTATCGTCAATCTTATTAATAATTTACACTATTAATTAATTATAAAAAGTAATTTTTATTTTGCTGACAGACACATTAAGCGAAATAAATTTGTTAATGAAGCATTAATGTGAATATAATGGATAGCTTTATTAAATTTAAACAAAGCAAATTTTTCTTTAATTTATGATCAAATGGAAATTTGATAATGTTGAAAATATTTTAAAAGATATTTTGTTTTTCAATCCAATGTTCTCTTTAGCATTCCTTATTTTCTTTCTTCAAAAAAAGTCTTTGATAGGAAAATTAAAATTTGTTCAATGTTATGGTTTATCATATTCATTCTAACCTTTCACATTCAGATTGGAAGAAGAAATTGTGGTAAGGCTGTACGATGAAGTTGACGTAGAACAATTTGATGAATTTCTTCTTATCCCCATATTTACAGTTGTTGTCATAATTGGTGCCATTATGATATCTTTCATCATTTTCCGAATTTTTCTTTGCCATGCACGTAGAAAACGTATAAAAGAGAAGGCTAAAAAGGATGTGGAAATTACAACAGAGACAGGTCGGTAGTTTAGATAAGATTACCAATTATTGTAATTAATAAGTGGTTTCAATTAAGGAGGAAGTTTTATAAGATAGAGAAAAGAAGGAACTTGAAAAAGGAATCAGAAATTGTTGAAAGAAAAAACAGTGAGATGTCTGAGTGATATACAAGTCATGATAAGGTTTAACTTAAAAAATTTAAACACATTAACCAACAGCTTAATGAATTATTTTCGATCGGCTATTCGAATTATTGAACATGTTGAAATTTTTAAAATCTTTTTATGCAAAATTTTATCGGCAAATATTATAAGCATAAACTCCTGGAATAACAGATTACGAAGCGATAACGAAAACTGTAAGTTATTTTGACACTATCACTACAATATTCAGATAATTTAATAAATCCTTTTGAGCAACCGCTAGGTTCAATCTGTAAGGCATTAAAAGGAAATATAATTTGTTAGACTTTTTAAGGAAGAAAATTTATTGAACAAAATTTAACTTAAAAAATTTTTGGTTTGGTTTTTATAATCAAATTTTAAAAGTACAAATTTTTTATAGAAATCTACCAGTGCAGCAAATTCGACAAAAGTTTCGGAGCCAGAAAAAAGAAGGTGATAATTTTGAAAGTTATCAACCAGCAAATGAAACTTATCATTTGTTCGAACACATTTTACATTATGTTGTCAATTGTTTGCAGCATGCAAAAAATTATACCTAAATCAACTGTATCAGTGAATAAAGAAAAGGCTATCAACAAGGTGGACATCAAAAAAGTAAAAATGCTTGAAAATATTGATCATATCACTAAAATAATATTTATTTTAATCTTAATTTATATAAATTTATATTAAAATATTCCATATTTGTTTCAAAGCTGCAAAATATTTTCATGTTAAAATTTTCTATTTTTCAATTGTTTTCAAAATATTATCAGAAGATATGATGTATTATAGCATGGAAAAAACGAAATTAATGAAACTGAAGAATTCTTAGATGTGACACAAATAAGTGAATTGACATCAGAAAGAAGCATTAATGATAAACAAAGCAAACTGTTGGAGAAAACGCAGCCATCAATGAAACATAATTAGTTTAATTAATATAATTATTGCTTGCTAACATATGTGATCTATTTAATTATTTAAACATTATTAAATAGACTGTTATCATAAAAGTTAAGCATATTACAGCGAATGTCAAAAAATTGCAAAAATAAAATAAAATTAAGATGCGAAGAATGTCGTTGGAAATTAAGTGATAGAAAGCTTTTTAATTCTTATTTTACTCAATGTTTCTAAAACCTAATATTTCAATTCGATTCAATTATATATATATGCATGTTATTGTAAACTTTTGAAATGATACATTTTCAAATATCACATAAATATTTGATCATCGATTGCACAATTTCTAAACTATTTCTATTCATTAGCTAAAAATGATTAGTTATGAAAAATATATTTATGCAAAATTTATCATATGAGAATAGTAAAAAAATTTTTAATTAGTTCCATTTCAACGTAGTAATATTTTGAAAAGAATTAGCTAAAACAAAGTAATTTGAATTTCGTAATTTAAAAATGACATAATTCCATCACTTTTTATAAAATGTCGTAAAAATGATATTTTGATTTTCGTTATTATTATTTAAAAAATGAAGAAGGTGTAGGCATTGAAAAGATATAAAAATTTAAAATTCGTTTATTTCATATCATTTTATAATAGTGTAGAAAGTTATGTGGTTAAACAGTTTCCACGTGATGAAGGAGTCAAATGTTGGTCGTATCGCATTTGGTATCTCTATTGCTTTAACGATGGTTTTCACTCTCATTTCTCTTCTTACTCCCGGTAAGACCATCTCGGTCGTATAAAATTGGAAGCTAATACTGCACTGATATTGAATAGACAAGAATATATCATCATTATAATTACACAGTAAATAAGCAAGGGATATTTCAATTATTAGTAACTTTTACAAGAGATAAATAATTGTTTTAGCCTGGAGAACATTTGGAAAAAAGCGTGAAACATTGGGTCAAGGCCCAGCTGTACCAGCTTCTATTGGTCTCTTCCGATATCAGTGCTTTGGAGATTTAGGAAAAGAAGATGGTGAAATAAGTAATGAAAAGAGGCCAGATGTCGATTTTTGTAATTACATTTTCGACGTTAGTTAATGGATCTGCAAAACTAATTATATCATATTGAGCAAGCCTTAAAATGGCAAATGTGGTTGTTTATCTTTTTTTAAGATGTCCTTAAAAGGTTTTTTGGTATCTTTAAGTTAAATTGTTTCAGACTTATATTTTTGGATCGTTGACTGCTTGAATTCAAATTCCAAAACTTTGCAATAATTTTTATTAATTATCTTCAGAATCGTGCATCGTGGGATATCACAGTACTTTATACATTAATATCATCTTTGGCTGTCGAATTAATTGCTATCTTATATTTATTTCTACCGCGAGCATTTTGTTGTGAACATTATGAACATATGGCAGCACCATTTAGTGGTTTTGCGGCTATCATATTTATGCTGTTATTTTATGGTGTGATTACTTATGCGGAACGATATTCTGAAATTTCAAGTAATTTAATTAATGTTAATAATATCCTTACATCTAAATTATAGGATGAATTGATTGTACCATTTAAGGATGTTAATTTGGATATTTGATTTCTTATTAAATTATATAATATGTATTGCTGATAATAATTATAGCCATCACTTAGGTACTTTGTTATAGATTTACTTAAGGCTTTCTCAGAAACGGAAGGACACAATGAATTACATCCATCAATGATTATTATTGGCCTTGGTTACAGTTACTATTTATTATGCATTGCTCTTGTTTTTTCTTTTTTATCACTTATCATTGGTGTGCTTAATGTTACCTTAGCTTGGTGTTTTCTTTGGTAGTTATAATAAAAATGAACATTGCTTATAGTATCATTACATCATATCTATTTATTATCAAATATATCAAAATATTTTAAAAATTAAATACATATTTAAAATGATAAAAACAAAAATATGAAAGATTATATATTTTTTACATTTTTACTAACTTCCTTTGTTCCTTCATGAATTTTAACTTAAATATTTAAATTATAGGCATATTCGTTATAAAATAAAGTTTTGTTTCAATCATTTTAATATTTTAAGAATAACGAACTCTAAAATTATTCCTTCATATTCGTACTCTAATTGTGAATGATTAATTAATACGTATTAATTTGGATAGTTAGTCATAAATATTGATCAGTAAACTGGTTTAATTTCTAATAATATCATCAATGATTAAGGTGTGAAATTGCTTCGATAAGATTATTGAGCAACTTATCATTCTTATCATAATGCGACTATGATACAGATATTTTGTGTTGCTTCATATATGAAACATATTTTCATTCATAAAATAGCGTCTGAAATAAATAAAAAAGTAGGAATTTGAACACTTTTGCAAAGAAAAATAGAAACCGTATGGTGAAAAGACACATATTATTGATAAGCTGTATGGTATGGTGAAAGGATATATATTACTGATAAGTTTATTTCCCTATTCATCGATCGTTCATTTATTTAAATTCATCCATTGATAACAATAACAATAAATGATACATGCAAAACAATATCAGAAACATTCCTTCGGATATGATTTGCAAACAAGAAAGTTTTCATTCATTTCATATATGTACAAAAT